AGGCGCAGCCCCCTCCCCGCCGCCCCGGGGGTCGCCGAGGCCCCTTAATGCCCGCGGTAATCGCGGCCGCAAATCCCCGCGCGCAGCCGGGATTAGGCGGGAGCCGCCGCCGGGCCGGCCGGGGGGGCCGCGGCCCCTATTCATGAGCGCGGATTTCCTGTGCTCGGCGCGGGGGGGCGGCCCCGGCAGCTGCGAGCCGTAACCGGACACGCCGCGGGTTCGAGCCCCGGCCCCGCGGGGGGGGCGCGGGGCACGGCGAGGGCACCGATCCCCCCCCCACAGAGCAACGAGACCACCGCCCCCCCTCCCGGGCAAAACCGTGCACCGCGTCCCCGAACGGTCCCCGTGGGACACAGCGGGGCAGCTGGATGGGGTGGCAGGGAGGGGATGTTGCAGCTGGGGGACGCTCAGAGCAGCCCCCCCGGGCCGGCGCCGGGGGCTGGCCGGGCTCTCCGGCTTGGCAGGACGCCCCAGCCCAGCTGCCTGCGGCCCCCGGGGCCGGGGGCTGCCGGAAGGGACCGCGGTCGTTCCCAGCACCCGCTGCTAGGGGGGCCCTGCCCGCGGGGGGGGCACTCGGGATGTGCTCATCCCCACGCCAAGCTTGGGGGGGGGGGCAGACAGGCCAGTTCCCACCCGCCTGCATCTGCCTGCTGGTATTTTATGGGGTGTGAGGGATTTATTCCCATGATGAGTTCCCAGCAGGAAGCCGGAGGTGGGGGCAGGCTGGAGGCCGGGGGAATGGGGGAGTAGCTTCTGGAGAACCCCAGGACCCCCCCCCCGCAGCACGAATGGGGCCCCCACATGCATCCCGATATCACCTTCCCGTGATGCTCCCGCTCAGCCTGCATCCCTGAGATGATGACAGCCTGGGGTGATGCCAGGAGGGGGGGGATGCAGGACCATGGGGAGCCACCCCGGCTCAGCAGCACCCCTGGCGCCACGACCCAGCCCCACACCCCACCGCTGGGCCCGGGTTAGACACAGACACCGGGATGTTTTAATGAGCTTGTTCCACGAGTGCATCTTGCCGGCAGCAAGACACTGCCCTGGGCCCCCTGCGGGCACTGGGCCCCCAGCGGCAGCCTGGGCGATGGGTGCATCCCCCATGCACCCATCCCGTGGAGGGGATGGCTGCCCGGCTCCGGCTCGGCCTCGTCCTCCCCGCGGCGGGGGCGAGCGCGGGCCGGGGGCGCGGGGGGAGCCGGGGCCGCGGGTTTTGCTGAGGCTGCGGGGCCGGGGCAGGATGAGCTCAGCGCTGGCCGCCTCCTTATCGCGGGCAGACGGCGCGTGCGGCGGGGAAGGGCGCCCGCCGCCGCCGCCGCGTGTTTGCCGAGGATAAAGTGTACAGAACAGCGAGGGCAGGGGCCGCGCCGGGGGGGCGCGCGGCCGCCCCTTCCCCTGCCACGCTGGCTGCGGCGCCGCCAGCCCCGCCACGCGCCGGGGGTGGGGCCGCGGCCGAACCCGAGAGCAGGGGGTCTGGCCTGGGTACTGCCATGCTTGGTGCCGCCATCCCTGGTACCGCCCTCCCTGGTACCAGCATCCCTGGTACCGCCCTCCCTGGTACCAGCATCCCTGGTACCGCCATCCCTGGTACCAGTATCCCTGGGTACCAGCATCCTTGGTACCGCCATCCCTGGGTACCAGCATCATCCCTGGTACTGCCATTCCTGGGTACTGCCATCCCTGGGTACCACTATTCTTGGGTATCGCCATCCCTGGGTACCAGCATCCCTGGTACTACCATGCCCTGGGTACCAGCATCCCTGGGTTCCACCATGTCCTGTGTCCTGCTGCCCCTGGGTATCCCTGTACCCTGTCTATCATCACGTCCCTGGTGCCACCATCCCCTGGAACTACCATGTCCCTATCATCCCTGTCCCCTGGGTACCACTGTCCCCTCAGTACCACTACCATTGGGTTCCAGCATCCCTTGGGCACCATTGTGCCCTGGGTACCACCTTTCCTAGTTGTGTGTACCCCAGAAACCACCATGTCCAGAGCACCCAGATGCTCTGGATGCCCCCCTTCTTTGGCTACCCACAAACCTGGGTACTCCTTTCCCATGGGTACCCCCTTCTGGCGGGTACATCTGTCCCCTGGGTACCCCCATCCGCTGGGCACCCCATGCAAGGCGGGATGGGCAGCCCCGGGGCTGCGCGGTGCCCGGGATCCTACGATAGGGAGACCGCGGGGGTCCCCGAGTGTCCCCCCCAGAGCGGCAGCGACCCCTGCCCGCGGCGCGCTGGCCCTTTAAGAGCGGGGCACGATGGGAGTTGTAGTCCTGGGGGGAGCGGGCCGCGCGCAGGGCATGCTGGGGAGGAGGCGGAGCGGGGAAGGCGGGCGGGGGGGGGGGGGGGGGGGGGGGGGGGCAGTTCCTATGGCCCCCGCTGCCCCGGGGCTGCCCCGGGCCCCGCGGCCCCCCCTCCTCCCGTGGGCACCGCGCTCGCCCCCCCGTGGGCACCGTCCCTGTCCCCCTATGGGCGCCGTCCTCGTCCCAGCGTGGGCACCGTTTGTCCCTCGTGGGAACCGTCCCCCCGTGGGCGCGGTCCCCACGCACCCTGCCCCGTCCCTGTCCCGGTGCCCCCATGGCCACGCAGCGCCCCCGTCCCCCCGCCCATCCCCACGATGGTCCCCAGCCCCTCGGGGTGCGGGGGGCTCCGCCCGCCCTCCCTTCCTCGCCCCCGCGCGGACCC